TTGCTCATTAAAATAATAGAAAATATGATCTGGTCACAATTATATTTATTAAAGAAAATCTGCTGTGTATTAGTCGTGAATAAACATAATCTCCTGGATACAGGGTTTTGCTATTTTGGTGCTGAGACAGGTGGTGTAATGATGAGACTGATTAAACTGTTGAGAGGAAACTGAGACGTAAAAGTTGCAGCTGCACAAACTATGAATAAAAAGGGCGACAAGTCTTCACTTCCTGCCACTATCCAGAAATGACACGAAAATATCTTGGACAAAAACCTTATTAAAACCAAACTGAGTGAGAAAATGAAAAATCAAATATTCATCAGTTTATAAAGAACAAACTTAAATGGACAGAAACCCTCTTTGCTCTTTGAGAAAATATTTACTTGGTTGATGTCCCATCCGCTAACATTGAGGAGACGGAGTTTATAAACTACACTGCAGCCGTCTATGGTTTGAAATGAGTAACCCCTTTACCTGCTTCAACTATAAAAGTAAACTGAAGTTGATTTTGTAGTATTTCATACCATATTTGTTGTTTTGACACAAATTCCAAAGTAAAAATCATCATTTACAATCTTACCTCCGTTGGCTTCTTTATTCTGACATGTTTCAATGGACACAACATTTCTGCAGCACATTTATACCAACGTGCTGCACAATACGACTCATTCACCTTGACATCAAAACAACCATTCAAATCTAATGGCCATGGCAGCGATAATATGGACTTTACCTCCGCGTGGGTTTTTATTTCTCATCAATGTTTTCAACTTGTGATGAAAAGAAGCCAAAGAAGTAGAAAATAAACGTGGCATCCGAAGAGAGTGAACTGCTGAGGGAGCATGTGTGTGTAACAGTCACACGCAGCACTAAAGACCTGGCACTTTAAAACAACTGCTTCTCATTATGCTGCAAATATTTTCATTTACATCATAAATTACAGCTGCTTCCTTGGTGGCGAGAGCTTTTATAGAGTCCGCAGCAGCCAGTTCATATCCTTTGTGTGCGGTGGCACCGGAGGGAATAATGCAATTCATTTATGACCCCGTGAAATATACAGCTCACGGCAATAAAGATGCTTAGGTTGCAGTTCCCATTAATGAAAGCATGTTCCATTAATGTGCTCTGTCGGTAAACATCCATCCCACAGCCACAGAGCATTATTATTCCACATGTCTCCACGTGCATTGAGCCGGTGGAGCAGCGAGACCATACATCAAAGAGGAGACGAAGCTTTAATAAAACTCCAGATGGTTGTACAGTCGGAGACGAGCGGGAAGGAAACAGACATTAACATCAAACCTTTACGGAGAATCTAAATATAAACATTAGCATCTCGGAGTCAGTGGGAAATGAGGAGTAAGAAAAACTTATCTGACTCCTTCTCCAAACTGTGTTTGATGGGCTTATTAAATTGGCTGGTGCTGAGCCAGCCTGACAGCGCCGTGACCTCCATTTTTGAAGCGTAAATGTACACAGGGAAGGTTGCCAAGGTTTCCAGGCTCGTCACACCTGAGCTTCACATTCATTACATGCATAATTGGAATTGGATTTGATTAAATTTTCATTAAACATGTGGTGTGTTTTTTTTTTTTTTCCCCGCCAATGCTACAATTTTTGAGAATACACGCAGCATCTGATGCATGAAATTAATGGTTGCTACTTTCGTTCAGTCTGAGCACGAACGCCTCGTAGATGGAAAGTTAACGAAGGCAGGTATTGATCAGTGGGATGCAGATGAGTATAAAGGATAAATACATTCATTGAAAAAGCAGCAGAGAGTAAACAAGCCGAAATCAGCCAATACCAATATGTGTCACTTAAATAAAATATAAACAGCCTGATGGTTTATTCCTGAATAGTTTATTGTTAATGACGTCTTGAGTTGACGAAGAGGAGGATAATATCTGCAGCTCTCAAACACAAGACACTTTGAGTGTGAGTTCACACAATGTGAAAAACAACAGCGCCCATTTCCCCTGCAGGCCTGAGCCCAACCTGACGGAGTTTACTTACAGGACGGAGTCCAGAGGAAGGAAGTGACCTCACAACTCTCAATGCAGCTGTTTATCACAGGGAGTATTTTCAGTGCCTGTTTAACGCGGGAAACAATTCGACAAAAGAATAAAAACCCAGAGACAAGTGCACCATGGGAGTCACAGAGCAACAGACGATTAAGTCAGAGATCGTAACGACCGCACACAGAGGAGATGAGGGTGAATGGTGACATCATCCACAACTCAGAAAACTGGAGCTTGAACATATTGATCATCACATCTATCTTTAAATACATATTCTGATCTGTTTCATATATTTAACTCTAGGTGCACCATGTGTTCTCTAAAACGATTCCAGCTCTCAAAACTCTGTCTGCCTGATTTATTTTAAACCAAAGTAATGACTGAAACATGTACTTTGACTTTTAAGTTTGTCCCACGTCCCATCTGCTTACATGGAGGAGGCAGGGTTTATTTCACTTTTGGGGAGCTGTCATGTCGTCCATCTATATATACAGTCTACGGTTTATCTTAAAGAGAATGTGTTTTAAATCTAAAGCAAATCCAGGGTAGGTCTGTATTCCAATAAGAAAACCTGTGCAGGTAAAAGAAGCGGTGGGTCAACGGGGGTCAAGGAACTAATTTACAGCTGCAGAGTTCAACTGGTGGTTTAATCTGTACATGTAAAAGTGAACTGTAGAAAATGTTTGGTGATCTCTTTGTTGAGGGGCTGATCAGATGTGATAGCAACAAAAAAATATTACGAAGCATTAGTTCCACATCAAATGTCCTTTAAATGTTGTCTCGTCCTGGACACTGAACTATGAACAGATTCGGTCTGCACAAACCCCCCCGAGCTGCTCGCCTGCATCCGTGCAGGTGAAATCAAGTGAAACCACGATTACCGGAGCCTCCGATTGTTTACAGCGCACCAGCTCCACAAAAGGACGGGCTGCTCCACCGGCAGGCAGGATGGGAGCGATGAGGCTGAGTGTGTCCAAAGAAGAAGGCGATACATGATGAGTCGTGTAAACATGCTGTGGGTGACATTTGATTTCTCTGAGGAAGGAGCTGCTCACGATGTAATATTGAGAGTGAATCTGTAGAGAAGACTGTGTGGCGCCTGAGGTGATTTCAGGTTCGGTGTGTGGGCGGATGGAGCTGCCTGACGTCTAGAGAGAGACACACGCACAATGTGCGTAGCAAAACGCTGGGATGTTTGTTTTGTATCATTTCTGCTTGATTGTCACATTTAAGGCGCCGTTTCTACGATAGTATACGTCCATACGTGTCAGGAAAGTCAATATCTGAGACTCTAAATCTGTGACACTCCATACGGACGATTAATGTGCCATTTATTTTTTTCCCAAGATCCAATTCACTGAAGCTAATTTCACTCACTGTGCAAACCAAACAGACGCCTGCGTCCCTGAATAAATGTTCCCTCAGCCATTTGCTTGATAGACTGCTCAAAGATCTCGCAAATTTCTTTGTTTAATCACAAAACGGTTTTCCGCGGTGCCTGCGTGTGTCCCGTTTAATGCAGCGACAACAATGCAATTACCGAAAAACCTTTCCAGATCCGCAGACACAATGAAGAATAACAATACAGATTTGAGCGCGACGCTGCAATTACAGGAGCTAATGGGCAATCATGTTAGCATTGTGAAATATGAGCAGTCGCCTCTGCACGGCGTGAACGCCGGTTTAGCATTCAAGCGGAGGGACGCGGCGAGCGGCGAGAAGAAGCCGAGAGGAGACGCAGGGAGAGAGGAGAGGAGACGGAGGGAGGATTTATCTCTCCCAGCAGATGTGGAGAGCACTCCTTGGGCTCCCAGTCAGCAGCCACGACAGTTTACAAGCTGCAAAAGAGATTGATTGTCCATGGATCCCTGTCCCTGCGTGGCTGCCAACTCTGAGCTAATTAAAGAACACTTCTCCGGAGAAACACTGAGCAGAAACCAAGCGCATCCTATTCACCCTTGAGAGAACATGCTGCTTTTAACCCCTGTAGAGGGAGATATTGCTAGCTTTGCCAAAACAGGTGTCACTGAATGGTACGCTGAGAAATAGCTTCACGTCCATAGAGATAAACAAGGGCAGCAAATGTGCAGTATGTCGTTAAAAGTCTGTCGAGATGTTGATGAAATTCTTCTTCGGCTCTGAGAAGGTCAGAGATGAAGAGGAAACAGGATCCTTTTCATCAGAATATTTATGGTGGACTAAAAAAACCTGGACGGCTGCAATCACTGGCTCTTGTTTAGTCGAGCGCTGATTCTCTCAATCTTTCAAAAGACAGATTCTGCAGGGTTGTTTTTTTCAGTTTGCATTAATTTCTGCACACGTTCATTTTCTGAAAACGAAGGACAGCGTCTGTTTGTCAGAGTCACGAGGGAAGCAGCTGATTGGAGTTTTCCAGCAAATTTAGGAATCACTGCACACAAACAGTGTGACGAATAAATTACTCATTCATCCATTCATTTGTCTTCTCGTGTTAGAACTTCCTAAATGTCGCAGGGTTATACTCGGCTTCAGTCTGATCTGATATCTGGTAAAATGACCCTGTAGTGTGACGGGTTTGCAGACATAGGCCCCGTCCCAATTCTTCTCCCTCGGCTCTACACCTCGATATGAAGTGTCCAAACAGAGCCACAAGGGAGAGGGCAAGAAAATCTTCCCCTAAGAATTGGGACACCACTCACTACGTCATCAGCAGAAGACAACAGTGATTATATTAACAACTGTTATCAATCAACGTTATAATAGAGACACATCCGTCTAAGTGGAGAATCTCCTGCTGTGTCGTTCATGTGTGAATGGAAAAAACTCCAGAGCAAGTCCAGACCCAATAATTACTAAACAACGGGAACACAGCGACAGTTTTGCTCCTCCATGAAACAAATCATCAGAGTTAAATCAGCAGGAGATCTTAATACGTGTGTGTGTGTGTGTGTGTGTGTGTGTGTGTGTGTGTGTGTGTGTGTGTGCGTGCAGACGTACCAGTGCAGGAGTATTCGTCCACTCTGATGAAGCCTGGCAGACAGTCACAGCGATGGCTGCCGGGCAGGTTGACACACGCCGTGTTGGACTGGCAGTAATGCATCTGCGTCGCACACTCATCAATATCTGAGGACCAACAGAGCAGACACAATGGATCAGTGACTCCGTGACGCTTCTCTACAGGCGACTGATGAAGCAGGTGGACGAGGCTCATCGAACCGACTCAACACTGTCGCTTTATTCACATCACAAAACCAGGGGCCGGATCGCATGCCTCCGCCGAGGCTAAACGAAAACTTTAAACATGCTGTTATTTGGATGTGCTCTGCTTCATGCAGCATCTTTTACACTTCAGTCCGTCCTGCGAGAGGAATCCCTCACTGATGCGACTCTCTCTGAGGTCTCTGGTTTTGAATCACTGACAGAGGATGTTGCACCTTGTTAAGCCCTGTGAGAGTGTAGTGGAAAAAACAACTTAGTGTGGTGGGAAACTGTTTTGAGGCTGAGTTGTAGTTATCCCTGTATAAGCCTTTTATGACCTGAACTGTTTGTGACCTACATTTTTATTACCTTGCTAATACCTTTATGACCTTTCTATTGCTTAATGTGTGTCCAAGGAATTATGCTCGATCTTGAAAGGAAGCAAATAAGTTCCCTGTGTCTTAATACCTGTCTGAAACTCCGCCTGCAGAACCAGTCTGAACCAGTCAAACAGCCTTAGATCTTCTATATAAGATGTTCGCATTTGACTGTTCTCCATCAGAACTCTGATCCCTGTGACTCTTTGTGTTGATCCTTTCCTCAGAAAGCCCCTAATAAATTTAGCCCCTTGTATTTTCAGATTTCCATCACGAGACAAATTGTGAATTTAGGCAATTTAGGTTCAGTATCATTCCCAAGACTGGGATCTAACTGCCGATCATGTTAGAGGAAGACCGCTCACCCACAGCCGCCCCTGCTTATGAAAACACAACCTCGTCTGTGGAGGTAATAAGAGTGCTGTCCATCCACGACTGCTCCCAAAAATTAAATCAATCACACAAGCAAACTTTTTCAAAGGCAAGTCGAGCTTTCCCCCCTTTCAAAAAAAAGAAAAGAAAAAGTGAACGAAGACGAAGAAGGGAAAAGGACGAAGCTGATAAGGACGGACAAACCGGAGAAGACAGCAGAGAAGAGAGCGCAGCACTTTTTCCTGACATGGATAATGTTCCACTAATATCATGATATATTACATCCTCTCGCTCCACACACAGAATCACTGTCTTTTCTAATGTAGCTTGAAAGACGTTGTATGAGCATTAACACAAAGAGCTGAGGGAGGCATTAGCTGAGCAGGATGACTGCTGATGAGATGGGATCAGAAACACGCTTGGGAGGTGTTATGCAGAAGAGCCTGGATCTGTGAGTGTGTGTGTGTGTGTGTGTGTGTCTGTGTGTACCATGGTCATATTTATGTGGATGAGACCAGCAGAGACCCGGCTCCCTGAGGCTAACAGGCCTTTCCACAGCATAAGGGACTCGGTACGCTGCACTTAATGGAGAGCGAGGATGAGGAGAGCATTTCCATATCCTCTCCTTGGATAAATACATTCCAGCTTTGAGGTTCTCAGCTTTCCCCCTTACAACAGAATGAATTTGTATGAAGTGTGTAATTGACTTACATGCAACACCCAGAGGTTTTTTTTTTTTTTTTCCTTCTGCAAATTTCATCCTTGGTGAGTGTACAGTAGGAGCATTGAATTGCACAATCAAAGAGAGATGGATCATGTGTTCAGGCGTACAAAGCCTCGCCGGCCTTCAGCATAACAGGCATTGATCTGCTACATCAAAAACAAGGAAGTTATTCCAGCGCTTTAAGGCTGGAAACAGAATCTCATATTCATCTCGTCTTGAAGCAGCACTGCACAATGAGAGCTGCTCATTTGATTATTGGCAAAATAAATAAAAAAATGCAGCGATGCATTGTTCGAGCCGGATGATGGCCCCCTCCGTGATGTCTGCGACGCACCGCCTCAATAATTCAAAGACGAGAGCTCGCCGCTTTTGTCAGCTCGCATTTACAGTGGGAAAAGCATCTGCTGTCAAGTCTGCAGACGTGATGAGGTGTTCTGATCTCTGCTGGTCCGAAGGTCTCGCGTCGCCTGTAAATGTGCATCCGAGAGTGTGTGTCTGTGTGTGTGTGTGTGTGTGTGTGTGTGTGTGTGTTAGAGTGTGTGAGTGTGTTCGCACTCTGCAGCCTCCTCTGGGACGGTCGTAGCAGGTGAGGTCTGCTGACAGAACTGGAACTGTCATTTTGCAAAGAGGGGAATTCATTTTTCTGGATTTGTGTGTGTCTCTCCCCCCCTCCTCCCACCGCCACTCCCCTCCGAGTTCACTTTCTTCGTGTCTCTGTTGCTTTATTCATGCTGTGATGTAGGTCAGAGCTGCTGGTGGTGGGTAGGTGGGGATCAGCTAAAAATAAGGCAGGATAGGACTCTCTCTGCATGTGCGTGTGCATGTGTGTGTGCATGTGTGTGTGTTTGTGTTTGCACTGGCTCATCCCTTTGTGTGATTGGGAGGGAGAGACTGTGCATTCGGATGTTTTGGATGCTGTGAGGCAGAAAGAGAGAAGAGGCTTCATATTATTTTTATGTGTGTGCATGCACGTGCACTCATATCTGCATCACATTCTATATTGTGCAGAGATTAACAGAAATAGCTTCAACTTCAACAAAATGATCTCCTGCTGCTGCTGCTGAAATGCCTCTTTTCTATCCTCTAATCAACCCACATATTGTGTTGTGTTTGTGTGTGTGTGTGTGTCTGTAAATGTCACCCAGGTCTGCCTATTATAAACTTCTATTAATGTAATGTTCTGTTTTTATTGGCTGCACGGCTGTGACAATACCGCTTCTGTCGAACGCTATGGAGCTTTTTTCACAGGGAGGAGTAGACGCACTTTTAAGTTAAGATCAGGGACATAACCTTTTTTTTTTCTTGCATATGCATAAAGACATATTGAGTAAAAAATTATTATTTCAAGCCGAGTACTTTATATGTCATAAAACATGTCCGGGGGGCGTTTTAAAGATGTAAAACAAGACAAACTGTGTGGTAGCTTTAGATTAACTGTCCACGGCCTGACAACCACAGCACAGTTTATTTTCCATAACATTCGGTTAAACAGTGGTCGGCCTATCCAGAGCCGAGCAGGATTCCTGAAACAATTTCCAATATGCAGTAATATCATAACTGCACATTTATAAAAAAAAAAAAAAAAAAANCAAACTGTGTGGTAGCTTTAGATTAACTGTCCACGGCCTGACAACCACAGCACAGTTTATTTTCCATAACATTCGGTTAAACAGTGGTCGGCCTAACCAGAGCCGCGCCGGATTCCTGAAACAATTTCCAATATGCAGTGATAACATATCTGAACATTTATAAAAAAAAAAAAAAAAAAAAAAAAGTCCAGAGGCACAATGTGAAAACAAATGCAGATGATGTTAATATGAATTCAGTCACACTGAGACAACACTGCTGTGACTCCCACTGCTCCTCCCTAGAAATGACTTGTAGCCACAACACCCACTAACTTCAGCTGACGCTAATGTAAGAGCACAAATTACTAATTCATGTGCACGAGTTAAGACAAAAACAAGTTTTTTGGGGGGAGGGGAGTTGATGTACCCCGGGTACAAATCTCGTTCCTGTCTCGGCAGACGTCTCCTTCACACGCACACGAACACGTGTTCACAACCCCCCCCCCCTTCTTCTCTGACCTCTCTCTCACTCTTTCTATTTTTATGGACCCAAGAGTTAATCTCACCCAGCGATCACACACCATGATGATAATTGAGGTGGAGCTTTACTTTTAGCACACACACACACAAAAGTGCAAACACACACACATAAACACAAACGCACACATAGTAAGAGAATTACGATATTTGAGTAGTTTTCGCAAATGAACGAATTTTAAAACACATTTGTACAAAACTGCTTTTAATTGTTTATTCTGATTCAGATATTTTTCTTTGGTTTTATTTATTTTATGGTGGTTATAATGATTAATTGAACCTTTGTTAGTGAGTTTTAATCATTTTATCTATAATCTATATCTGTCATCTATATTTGTAAGAGACAGAAGCTAAAACCATGTGTTTCAGACAGAGGCTATGGATTATACGGAAGGTGACATTAGAGCATGTAAACCTTTTCAAGTAATAACACCTAAATAATTCCAAACTTGGTTAATTAACAATTAAGGTTGGAGTTCTGGGTGATGAGTGTGGTCACCAGTGTGAAGTCAAAAAGCGAAAAATGCAGCTAAACCACAATGATTCAGTTTCTAAACTGCATTAAATACATTCATGGATTATACAGATGTGGCAGTGGTTTGAGGGAGCTCTGATTGAGTAATTGATTGATTGGGAAATGACATTGAGTAGCAATTAACAATCAACTCTATAATTACTTCAAACATGGTTCTGTTTTACTGAACCTTCCACAAACAGTCACAAATGATCCTCACTTAACTTCTTCACCAACATCTTCATGTGACTACAACCAATCACAACACTTCTTCAAATGTTTGCATCAAGGCCTGGCTGAAGAAAAGACCTGATGTGTCCTTGATAAAGGAGCTGACGATCATCTGCCTCCATCTTCATGAAAATTCAAACAAACACACTTTGAGTTTTGATCTCACTTTCATCCAAGAGTCTCTATCCCCACAGGAAACCTGTCAGCAAACCCAACACTCTTGTCGGTTCTGTTTGATTTAGTCGTACCTGTTTTTGTGATCATCAGCCTGAACTTCAGGACCTCGGTTGATCACCTCACTGTTCTGCTTTCGAGGAATAGAAAGTTAAGTTTGTTTGTTTGATGCCAAACAATCAGATTTTTTCTTTGAATGCAGAAACACGTTTCGTCTTTGTGCATCAGACGACAGGCAGGGCAGCGTAATGCAGAGCTGTGCGTGGTTAAATGAAGATGAAATGAAAATCTTCTTCTCATTACATTACTATCTCTGTGTGGACTTTGTTTTTAACACAGAGAAAGAACATCAGAAAAATGGCCTCCTCTGAAGGAGGTAATTAATCTCAGCTAGCAATTGCACACCATCATAATTGAGTTTCATACAC